AATTAAGATTACTTTACTTATGTATTTATTTGTTGTCCACTTTCTCAAAATGCTTTCCAAAATATAAAATAAAATTTGAAAGCTGAAAAACATACATATATAGATATAGAGGTTTTAAAATTTTGTTTTTTGCTTTGAAATCCAGGAAATAAATCATGGACTCATGAGCAGCGTATTTCTGATAGTTCATCCTTTTTTGGACTGCAGTTATCATGACAACGCATATGCTGCGTCTCGTGCTTTACACATCGTGGATTTGGTGAATCCCTCGGCTACATTCACATTGTTGGAGGCATTCTTCGGTCAACAGGTTATTTTGTTGTTCAATTTTCATAGATGTTTTTTTCATGCAGAACATCATTGCTCTAGTGATATATAAATAAGACAGTTCGATATTAGAATTTTAGTCACTCCTTCCCAATTTGTTTCTCCCAAACAAAGCCCATGTTCTTTTCTTGATCAATTTATATATATTTTTTCCCAATATTGAGCCAGGGAAATAGAGCCTACATTTTTGCAAATTGATTTTATATATATATAAAATCCTCTTGTTTCATTTTCAATAATTTCAGTTGAATATAGAACTGTTTTCTGCTTTCGTTTCCGAAATTGTTGACTTGTAATACAAGGTCATGCTTTTACGGAAGATAATTTCAACTGTTCTGACATATAGTTGTCCAAGAAAGCAAATTAATAACAGAAAATGACTTTAAAAACAGTAGCCCAAAGATGTTTTTATTGAATTATTGTTCTCAAAAGCAGAGAATTGTTTTAAAAACCACTCCTCGAACATGTTTTCATTGAAATTGGACTTACTAGTTGTTTTATTTGGTGGGAAAAGGTGGTAAATATTAAGTTGGACTCATGAACCACAATGTGACTAGAATAGCTTTGTATTTTGTGTGGTCTTACTATCACGGAGACTAAATGGTTTCATTTCTGACAAACAGAAGCAATTTTACAATGCCGAAACTCATTATTTGTCAAGGGTTTCTATTGTGGATAAAATCGTGAAGTTTGGAGCGGAAGTACTCGGGAAGTCTTACGAAAAGGCTCTAGTAACTGGCTTCAATGATAGGAACACTGATCTTTTGACACGTGTTTCTTTCAAGGTATGATGGAGTAGCACTTCAAATTTTGGGTGGTTTTAAAGATATATATTGTTACATTATAACAGAACAATATTATTGTTAGATTAACTAATTTCTCTCTCTGCATGATGTCTGAGACTAGATCAGCATTTCCACAAGTAACGAGAACTTGTTCTGTTCCTTCTCTTCCACAGCTCGTTTCCTTTGCTTCATGCATCATTCATTTTGAACTCTCTTACATCTTGCAGTTTAGCACCTCAAGAGGAGTCTACGGAACACCCTTTTTCTTTATAAATGGATTCCTAGCTCCTGATAAAGGTTCTGCCATAAATTACACCGGATGGAGGGACTTGATCGACCCTTTGGTCGGGAATAAGAAGAGAATAGGGTCTCCACATCTATCGCTATGAAGCGTTTGGTCTATATAAACTTTCTAGTCTCCATGGCCATACATCTTTACTTACTTTATACATATCTATATGGTTTGCAGATGGAAAACAAATACTGGAAAGCATACAATTGCAGACTTTGCATTTATGTGATACCCCATTATCTCAGAAAAAGGTATAGCAAGATTGGTTATGCAATAAATGACTCTATGTTTTGTCTTTCTTTTTATGTTTTGTAATTGTCAAGTAATGTGAAATATAAACTCAGACAGAGATGCTTTATATGGTTCTTCTCTTTTTATGAAGAAAATATACATCACTGGCTTAGTTACTTCGCATGGAGCTGCCTCGTTCTACCAGTTGCTTATCCACTTCATGATGCCATTTTATACCCCTGCTAATTCTCTAGTTACGATACTTTTGATAAAGGATTTGAAAAAAAACATTTTTTTTTTATTTTTATAAAATATCTCTTTTCCTTTGTTAATGCATAATTGTGTGTTTTGCTTCATTTTCTATTAGAGGACTTGAGTACACCTTGAATTTGTCTGTCTAGCATAGAAAAAAGGGAATAATTTAAAGGTTTGCTTTTGGGTTGGATCATTAGGGGTCCAAGAGGCTGACTTGTTGGGCTGGTCCAATATTGAAATAAAGGGTTGGCCTCACTTGGCCAGTTAAACTTTGATCTTTGGCTGGAGCTTAGGGAGCCTCTTTAATGACTTGGGTGTGAGAAAAGTGTGGGCTTGGAGAAACATTAGAAAGCAATCAGAGTTAGGGTCTTGTGGTAAAAAAAAAAGGTTTTAATTAAAATACTTGTGTGTTTAAAATGTCAAATTACTATAAAGTGATTCTTAGTTAATCATTCTAGAATCATTTTTTTGAGAAGTTATTCTTCCATAAATGATTATAAACCAATTTGATTATTACACAAAAATATTTTTGGCCCTCCGAAATCATTTGGAAGCTAATTCGAATCCATTCTAAGTCCGGACAAGTAAAAAGACCACTCAAGAATGCATGTGGTTAGTTTAGGAGTGAATGTCAAAACACTACCAAGTAAACAAACCAAGTAGAATCAGTTTTAGTACCAAGTAAACAAACCAAGTAGAATCAGTTTTAAGGATGTAATCTTCAATAAAATTAGAACTCTTAAAAAGAGTAGATGAACAATAAGTTGAATAGGAGTTTGGGTTGCCATATTTATAGTAGAGGTAGAAGTAAATAAATGGGATTGAAAGAAGAGAAGAGATGAGTTATGCCTAGAAGGGAGAGTGAACACTTTTGCAAACATGTGTGAGCTGTGAGTTCTGACACCCACAACTTTTTTTGAGTTTCAGTGTCTGTCTTAGTTTGTCCAATTGCAGGTCTACTCCTTGATATTACCAATGATCTTATCCAAACCAACCAGTACTGGCTTGGCACACATCTAAATGTGTATGAGGAAGCATCTTCATCTTAACTTGGGTTTTTGTTTCCTCTCTTAGATTCACTTTTCTTTTTGTTCTCTGTTGGCAACTGATGCATTGGAAAATTCACATATTACTGCTCCCTGCATAGTTGTGTTATGCTTTGCAGGTGTGTTCGGTTCGGTTGTGTTGTGCATAGGAGGTATTCTATTCGAATTCCTACAGGACCATTTTCTTTTCAATTAACATTAATAACTACTTTAGCTTTTTGTAAGAATTTCTAAGTCTACAAGTGAGGGGAGTGTGAAATATTGATAAATGATTATATTTACGGTAACCTATCAGTTTAAACTTTTGAGTTGATTGATGATGTAACATCCTATCAGAGTAGGAGGTTGTGTACTCGGAGCCTTGTAATGTCATTTTCTCCCCATTTAATATTGATTAACATTTGTTGGGTTTTGACCTTTTGGTCAGAGATCGGTGTTAACTATCGTTGAGCTAAATTCATGTTAAAGTATGTATAAAAGATTAAATTCACCGTAATCTACTAGTTTAAGCTTGTCATTGAATATGGTATCAAGCTTTTTAGTTGATTAGGGATTTAACATATCCATAGAAAAAAATGATCTCTCGATCAACTCGAACATCATTAGATTCAGAACTAAACCAATTTATTCGTCGGTGTAATGTTAAGAGCGTACCAGACAAAATCAAGTTAATAGATAACCTTGTCGATGTACCAGACAAAATCAAGTTAATAGATAACCTTGTCGATATGAGAGGCTAAAGAGATGCAAATTATAATCTCACATTAGTTAGATCGAGAGGAAATATAAAGCCATTTAAATAGATTTCAAAAGCAAACCACATACGTTTAGACTAAAAGTGGCAATATATAGAATCTAGAATGGTCAATTGTTATATTAAGAGTAATTTCTTTAGACTAAAAGTGGCAATATATAGAATCTAGAATGGTCAATTGTTATATTAAGAGTAATTTCTTGGAGTCTAAGTGGTCAGACGCGGACGTTGTAGAATTGTTTTCAATTTCATCTAGAACACCTCATACCAATGAAAATATTGTTGTGGGGCTATATTCACATTTTTCAACCGTTATTTATTCAAGTTAATGATTGTTAAATGTAAACAATAAAGAGATCTTTTGGATCAAAAGAGATCTAATATAATTGTCTAACATGTACGATCCGTGAAGTCAAACTAGCTTTTCTCTCGATCGAATTCACACTTGTTTGTATATTTATTTTATTGCAAGTCAAACTTTGAAATTAAGATGGCTAATTTTATTTTAGTTGATTTTATGGAAGAAGCCATGTGCACAGAAGTGACTAAAAACCCCAATACTTTTCCTTAATATAACTGCTATTACAAGCAATGGACCTAATTAGTAATTAATTAGCAAACCATGTTAACTACCATAGACTTTTTTTCACCAAAATGCAATAAAAAAATGCCTTATTTTATGGAGATCCAATATTCAAACTTTATTATAAGTTAATTAGTTTCTAGTTTTTTTTGTACGATAATTAAATAGTGCCAAAAACCCATCTGTTATTCCTTAACCATGTGCATCATAGATCATACTGTTTCAATCATTTTCCCTTTTCTTTATTATGATTCCCATCTTAATTAATTTTCTTACTTAAATCACACCCAAACTTACTTAATTTCCTTATTATTTTATCATGGTTTATATAATTTGATTTGAATTGTATTTCCCTCTTTGAACTTTCAAACTTAGTTCGTTTTCAGTTATTTGTATATATTTTTTTAATTTCTGAATTTTGCATAATATATACATATATATATATATGTGTGTGTGTGTTTGTAAAATACCTACTAAATGTAACATAAAATTTTAATTATAATAATACACTTGACGAATTGCCCTATAAATGGGGAAAAGGGCCACTTTATGAACTTGTTAACAGACAGCCATATGATCTGTACTTGGAAATATATGAATGTTATTTTTCTTAAAAATAAGTTTGTCCCTATGCTTGGATTATGTTACCCTCACATGCCAAACTTCATTAATTTAACTTAATATATTATATGCTATCATCACAAAAAATTTCCTTTAAATTTTATGATACATACTTCCAAATCTACCATCACAAGTTTCTAGTCGGTGGGTATCAATCATACATATTGCTTAAGATATATTACAGATGTATATCATTGGGGTAAAATTGTCATTTTAAAATTGGATCTTCGTTTTTTTTATTTATAAAAAAGTATTATATTTGAAAAAACTAGATGTGGTTGCTATTTTGCTACTAAATATTGTTGCCATATTTGCAACTACCCTAAAATTAAATTTCAAAACTAAATAAGTTCAAATGAACTCGGTACAAATATTAGTAGCTAGAACGGGAATTTGACCTATAGTCATTCTTCAAAAAATAAACAGATGGAATCTCATATGGTCAATTATTTAAAATCATTAGTATGGTATATATGTCAAAAATTAGCATGTGAACATGATACATTAGGGTTGAATGATTAGCCTGTTATCACGTTCCCCTTATCAATTTTCATGTGGGATTGTCCATCAGACATGTTATAAGAAGAAAATATTAATTTCAATCTCCTCAAAATTAAGTTAAATTAAATAATTCAAATATTTGGACTTCTTTTTTTTTAATTTCTTAAAATAGCAACAACCAAAAAAATTAATTTTAAAACATGAAAAACCTTTTAAAAAAATATATGAACAATTGGGGTGGTGGAGTTTGATTTATTCACGGCTCTTCTGCTGGCGAGGCCATGTGAGAGTTTGGCTTTCAGAGCTAACAGAACATGGGAATCATTGAATTTTAGGCTAAAGAAAATCTTGCACCAAAAAAAAAAAACCACATTTTTTAAATGAAAATAGTTAATTAAGCACTAAATTTAGCCTCTAAACTTAAAAAATATATATTAATTATGTTGTTAATATCATTAACAGAATGTTAAATAAATCACTGACGTGTTTGAGAGTGATTGTATGACTTAGTGATTTTGAAAAAATAGATTTAATATAATTGATTTTCCAAAATCATCCTACAAAATGATGCTTCAAAAATAAATTTAAAATGATTTTAAGTTGATTTTAAATCCGTAAAATCAATTTTTTAATTTATCAAACATGGTCCTAGGAACACAGCCTAACATGACAAGAACAATGGAGATTAAATTGAAGTACCATGAAAGAGGGGTGAAATTTAGTAGAGTAGATTTATAATTTTAAAATATATAAAAAGTTTTTTTTGGGACAAATATAAAAACAACAATTTGGTTGGAGTTTCAGAGGTCACATGTGAGGTTGTTGGATTGGGGATTTTGGGGCCTTATTTAAGGCGGCGGTGCTGCTGAATTCCAAACTCACATTTTTCATTCTTCTTTTAATCTTTTTTCCTCTTTACTCTCTCACACTCTGGTTTTATTTCATGGCATCAATGGCCAAACTTCTTCTGCCATTTGTGCTCTGCAACTTCTTCTTTACCTCCGCTGTGATCGAAGCATTTACGGCGTCGGGATGGAATCAAGCTCACGCCACCTTCTATGGCGGCAGTGATGCTTCAGGGACAATGGGTAAGTAAAGACCTATTACGTAGCGTTTACTTTTGTTACATGTTTCTTGTTTTTCCTTTTTCCCTTTCATTTTAAGAAAAGTAAGATAAAAAGGTGTCTTTTTTAGTATAACACATCGGATGAGTAATCGAACTCACAATCTCTTGGTTGAAGATATATGTCAATTATATTTGCTTTGGTAGAAAAAAATGTGTCATAATTTTTTTTTCTTTATTGTAAAAGGACTAAAACAAGTCGTTGGTGTTTTCAAATTAAAAACTAAAATACATGTACGAAAGATTGAAATTTTAGAAAATATATATTTAAATGTATTACGGTAATATTTAGATGCCGATCGAGCAACGCACATTTCTATGATCACCAATAAAAATTTGACAACTTTAACTTTTTCATACTGGTAAGAAACTTAATGTATAGTCAGCAGAAGGAAAAAAAAAGTATCAGATTTTAATATTGTTTTTCAAAAAATTAGGATAAAAACCAATAAGCAAGAAAGTATATTTTTATTGTATTAAAAAAAGAAACTACATTTTGTTACTTAATAGTTTTTGTTTTAGCATACAATTTTGGAAACATTCTTAGACAATAACATCAATTATCAAACACTTAATAACCACTTTATTTTTTTGTTTTAAAAATTAAGATTACTTTACTTATGTATTTATTTGTTGTCCACTTTCTCAAAATGCTTTCCAAAATATAAAATAAAATTTGAAAGCTGAAAAACATAC